AGAACATGCCTACAAAAATTAAAATACATATAATAATCTGATTTTAGTTTCCATATTGTTGGGTGTAATATATAGTTTGATGAAGGGTGTACACTTTGGCAACGTGTGATATAGCCTTGGGATTTCTTTTCTGATTGAATATACAAAGTATCACCTCACAAAGGACATATTCAAGGAAAATAGGACAACGTGCAGTTAAATTATCATTTTGTCAGAAAGAGAAAGTTTAAGGGGGTGTCTGTGATTACTGAACTTATAAATCCATTGCAGTAAATTGGACTGATAAAAATAAAAAGTAAAGAACAAACATCTTTGGAGAATATCTTATTTATTTCTTAGTATTTTTTTTTGTTTCTTTTACTATACATGAGCCACAACAATTTTTTTAAAAAAAAACTAGCAAAACATTTGAATATATGACATAACAAAAATTAGATGCAAAAGAAAATTAAGTATTGTGATATATTGTTGTTGTTTATTAGGCAACAGCTTTGGGGGTCTCTTCAACCTCTTCTTCTGGCTTTTCCTTCACAGCCTCAACTTTGACTTCCTCAGCCTTCTCCTCCTCCTTTGCCGGCTTCACCTCCTCGGTGACCGCGGCAGCGGTTACTTTCTCAATCTTGGGAGCCTGTGGTGATGGCTCTTCCTTTTTAGTCTCCTCCCCATCCTTCTTCTCCTGAGATAAACCAAAAGTTTCGTAAGGGAACTCAAACATATTACATTCATAATAAAAGTGTACGTCTCAATCCTAAATAAGTTGTAGTAATATATGAATTTGAACCCTAATTGAGCAAGCTTTCAATTATGGACATTAGTTCTTGTGTTTAAAGAAGTAACATAGAGTTTAGCTCTTGAAAACCAACAATTTTCTCGTGGGATAAGGCATAACTATCCCTAAACTATGATCGAAATCTCAGAGACATGCATTAACTAATTTAACATCCTATTACCCTTCTAAACTCATTTTCTGTGTGATTTTATACATCTTTTGACTCATGTGACATATTCTGTGACTCCACTTAAGTGAGGTGCGTGAAAGATGTTTGAAGACAACGTAAACTAAAAAGGTGTACAAATTTTTTTTTAAAAATAATTTCAAAGATAATAGAACTTTAATTTAATTAATATGCTCTAAAATTTCAATTATAAGCCAGGAGAACTGTTGCATTCTACCAATTTCTCGTGTCAAAATATAATTAGTACACTTTTTTTCTCTAGGACTAGAGTTTAGTGGGTCCATTAATTTCTTTACCCATTATGCTCTTTTCGATTCAAATTTCATTCAATACAATTAAGAAGAGCAAAATAACACATCCTCATTAATGTTCGATTTTATTATATTGTTTTGTGAAAGTGATATGATAGTGTAAAAATTCATACATACCTCCGGAGCAGGGGTCTCCTGCTCGGTCTTTTCGGGGGTGGCAACCTCCTCAGCAGGAATAGGGGTGAACTCTTTATCCAAATCCTTAGGTCTGCTCGCACAGGCTCCCATGACTACTGTCTGAGATTTAGCGAGCTAAAAGGAGATGGACAAGAATATTTGATTGAGAAAATTATTAATACGAATCAAAGAGAGGCTTGTTTTTTTATTTATTTTTTTAAATTTTGTTATTGAAGTTAAAGAAATGAAGAGGCTTTTATAGAAAAAATTGGAAGGATATCCTAATTTAATGGTGTATCGTAGAAACATGCGCACCCTGTTTGTGGACAATTTTTTTGTAAAATAAAAATGAAAGTGGGAGGCCTCGATTTTGTATAGTTCGTTACAAATGTATGCGTTGAATATTAATTCATTGTAACATGACGGAGAAAGCTGAGATGGCAATAATTAAGTGGCAAATATCGATCTAAGTTATAACAACTTTTCTTGTTTCATCTTAATAATATATGATAAATACAATGTCCTTTATCTTTTTTTTTTCGACAAAAAAAATAATAGCCACTTCATTTTCTGTTTGGACATGGACGGTGCCCATATCTTATTGGATATTACTCTCTGTTTTTAAAATAGAAATCCCTCAACTAATTAATTCAGCAAGATTAAGTATGCATACATCATAATAATATCTTCAATAAAACTTAATAAGTGGAGTCTAAAAAAGATATAATGTATTAGTTATACTTAAGAGATTATTTTCAACAGATCCTCAATTTAAGTTATAACAAAAACAGTGCTAATAATTGAAATATCAAAACAAAACTATCATAATGCTAGTACAAAGAGAATGACAAATACTAAACATGTATGTATACACTAAGAAGGAAAAATGAACTTTTTAAAAATACGGCATTTTATAAGATTTTGAATTTTATCTTCCTATTATACATTCATATACTCCGACCCACTCCATATTACTTATATATATATATATATATGACTGTCAAATATTTCTCATTAAAAGTAAAAATTATAATATTTTCAAATTTAGTAACTCATATTTTATTTTGGAACGAATTAAATAAATTTTTGACACAAATTAAAATGTAAAAAGTAATTAATGATATCATATTAAACAATTCTCAATTGCGGTCATTAAATGAAATCATCCAATCGTGCTGTTGACACAACAAATATTGACGTTTGATGAGAAAAATGCAACACCTCCAAACGCACTCTCCATTTGCCTAGGCTCTTTTGTTCATAAATGTGAAATTAAATTTATATCTAAAGAAGAATGTGATGTAAATATGGAAATGCCTTCTAGACATTGTGGATACCAAGTTCAATATTGGACCGACAAGAGCTATTAGATCGAGAGTAAGTAATTAGGGTCTTATTATTGTGAAATTCAAATTGTGTGGTGAGTGTTAAGAATGATTCCATCAAAATAGATAGTGGCATGTGATTTAAGGATATATGTGTGTATTGTGGATAAAGAAAAAGTTTGATTCCTCTCATCTCTATTCTCATTTTAAATTTCTGTCTTTCGTTTCTAATTTTATTCTTAATTATGAAAAAATTGATAAAAGATAATTTTTTAAATAATATAGATTTCTCTAAAATAAAGTCTTAGTGTAGAAAACATAGAGAACTATCTTAAAGAAATATCTAGATATTCTAGAGTAATTGCTAGATGATAAATTCGTTAGAATTTTCTTGTATATGTAAGTAAAAAATATGTAGATATTCTAGAGAGTCAGATATTTATAGTAAGTCATAGAATCGTCTAGATCTTATAATATTTGAAACCATCCCCACATAAAATAAATAAAGATTGTCTTAGTCATTTGTAAGCAATTGAAGAGTGTTCTTTCATAACAAAGATTCCCTTTCTAAGTTCTTGCCTTTCTTTTCTAACTTCCTCTTCTTTAATTGAAATTAAGTTTTCACATCTCTCTTTGTTCTCCTATTAATCAACTTCATATATTGTCCTCCATAAAAATTTCTTTTATGTAGAGTTTAGATTCAAAATATTTCTTAATACATTTTGTGATTTGTTTTATTGCTATATAGTATTGAAATGTACTTTAACGAGACAATTTGTTTTAATTCATATTCTATCATTATTTTCATGTCATTCTTACATATTCAAAAGGTTTACTTATTTTTAAAATAGTTATGCTGCAGTTATTTTTAAAACAAAAGGCTATAATTTTGAATCCGTAATCTATATGTGATATAAATATCTTAAAAAAATTGAAAATCACATGAAAATGTTCATTCAGTGGAGCAGTGGCTTAGCCACATATTGGTCGTTGAAAAAAAAAATACCTTATGTATAAATATAATGATATATGAAACGTTTTTAATATAATAAATTGATATTTCCGAACATCCTTAAATAAAAAAAAAAGAAATAAAGAAAAAAGGAAATAAAAAATAAAAAATCTATTTTTAAAAAACTTTTTATGCACCCATTTTGAAGTGAAAAATTTCAAAAATGTTAAAATTATAGAATTCGACCTTACTTGAGATGTCTAAATTATAAATCATGCCAACTTTCAAATTTTTGCCATAAAAAAATCATATATGGCATAAAATATCCAGCCTGGTCAACCCTGTCTATGGCTACAAATATTTGTCTCATTAAATAAAAGAAAGCTAAAGTAGCAAATCTGCCGTTGGAAAATAAACCAAAATAAAAAAAGAAAAACAAATTAGAAGAAGATTAGTAACTTTAGGTGGGTAACGTGGGTTAGGTCTACTTTTTTTTTGACAAAGGAAACTTTCTTTGGCTATTTTTTAGGTCCGCACATGATAAAATTTTTACTTCTATATAATGATTCGCAAATAACATAAAAGAGGTAACTCACATCTAAACAAGTCTGATGCGACGAGCTCGACCTAAAAGGCAAATCACTTTTTAAGGATTTTCGTTTGCTTAATTAACATTCAAGGGGTCCTTTGGTTTAGTATATAAGAATAATGCAAAATATAGTATAATAATGCTTGTATTAGTTATGATGAGATTTTTTTTTTATGTAATGTTTGATTTGGTGTACTAAAAATATAGTGTATAACATAATTTTTGTAGAAAAAATATTTGTTTACAAAAATTTCCTCCAAAAATATAACAAAAAGGATGAAATAGAAGTTTTTAAGTCTTTAATAATGTTAATGCATGCATTACAATCCATTGCATTACCAATGTATAGAAATAGATGGTATTAGTAACATACTTTTCAATACACTTACCAATGCAAGCATTAAGGCTAAGAAAATGTACCTAACAAGATATTAATAATATATCAAACTGGTACAAACATTATTTTCTCCATCACACTCTACTAAACGATTCCATTCTCAAAATAAACCCAATACTTTGTTTGACTCTTTCTATTTATTTACTAGGTTTTGCTTATATAAAATGTGATCAATAATTTGATGTGTCATCATCCTGGGATTAATTGTAAACCTGGAATATTTTATCATTATATTAATATAATTTTACAAATTAAATAAATCAAATAACCTCAATTTTCTTGTTGGTAGGTCAACAGTACAGGTGAGATACAAACCAGTAAGTGTGTGTACAATTTCAACCGCTAGAGACTTCGAATTTGACGGAATCATAATAATAAAGGAAAATTTACCTTTCTTTTTCTATTCAAAAGATTGAAAAAAAAAGAGATACTTTACCTTTGATCATCGGAAATCCCCAAAATTTCAATTCTCGGGTTTTCGATTTCTTCAACTAGGTTTTCTGTTAAAAGAGAAAGGCGAGCTTTTCTTCTATATTCTAAGAAAGGCTCGCCGGAAAAAAAATTTAAACAAATATAGTATCCATGGAATTTCTTAGAATTTCTGCTTTTCAACCTATCTTCGTGTTCCTGCTCATCTCTGTCATCTACTTCCCGGTCACCGTCCGTTCAGATGAAATCATCCCGCTTCTGTTGCCTTCCGAACAAGTGAATCAAGACATTTGCCCTACGACGCCGTCTCCGTCGGAATCCTGCCCTATTAATTGCTTCCGACCCGACCCGGTCTGCGGTGTTAACGGTGTGACGTACTGGTGTGGTTGCCCCGACGCACATTGTGCTGGTGTGCGTGTTGTGAAATCAGGGATCTGTGAGGTGGGAAACGGAGGTTCTGCTCCGGTTACGGGTCAAGCGCTATTGTTGATTCACATTGTTTGGCTTGTGTTACTTGGTTTCGTCGGGCTGTTTGGGCTGCTATGATCGATCAGGTTTCGTTGATTGCTTGATTTAGGGTTAGACTTGATAGGATGATTTTTTTTGTATAACATACCTGTAACTTCTGTATGTATGAGGGGAATATACGGCTAGATGATTTCAACTGTGTCCTTGTTTTTCTTTTGTTCGATTAATACAATTTTAGGAGATTTAGATTTTTCTCATCCTTGTTTCTTTTATCTTTGAAATTTTCGTCGATAATTCTTTTACAGAGCCTGAAATGAATGTGTGATGTATATAAGAGTTGATATTGGAATGAAATTGGTCCCAACAGAGAAACAAAGATTCATATAACTTAGCCTGACTGGTATAGGGAAAGGAAGAGGATTCTCAGTGGGTGAGAAATTTGATTAGGAGGTAGATGAGCTAATGTTTGAGGCTAAGATTGTCGTCTACATGTCTTCGAGCTTTACATCTCCTTTTAAGTTCTTACGGCTGATAGGTGTGTTTGGACTTGAGTCTTTGAGGGAAGTATGGGATATTGGCTTGCTAGTACCCTTTATGCACTGGAATTTTCTATTGTTTTGGATCTGTTTGATGTGTGTGAACAAATTGTAGTCTGGTGTTTGGCTAGGGAAATGTTCAAACCAAATACTTTTGTGAGATCGCTGGGAACTGATGAATGCCTGTTTGGCACAAAGTGTTGAACCGAAATTGGAGGTATTTTTGCTTTTTCGTTTGCCATTACTTTCTCACGTCTGTTGTTCATGATTTACTCTGCCTTTATGCCATTTTCGTTCTGTCTCTAATTGGGGAGACTTACTGATACTTGTAGCGATAGTTGGCAACAAAGAACAAAGTGAACATTTTCATGAGCGCAATACTTCCTCACCCCCTAGGCTACTCCTCCCCTTGGTTTATCCCCTTCCTCAACCTCCAACCACCCCCCTTACCATAACAGCGTTTAGAATAACCCTTTATTTATCTCCAGCTTTCCCTTTGTCCTTATAGCAACTCTTTTGATGATCCCTTATGTCAGCCTTCCTTCTGGCCTTGTACCATCTCCTTCCTCTCCAATTGATCATGATGATTTGGCTAGATTTTTTGACATTCATCCTGGCGCATACTGGTCTTAGGAATGAGTCCAAAACTCTACTTCCACTCCAATTGTGATCTCATTTCACTTTCTTCAAGTTTTTAACAACTACATGGTGTCAAGATCATTATGAGGCATCTGAATAGGAGGATTATAGTCAAGCAAATTCATTATGCTTGTGTTTTTGGTTCTGGGGAGAGGGTGAGCTAAGGGACTTGAGAGGAGTTGGGTATCGGGTTATATGATTATCGGTATTTCCTCTGGCTATTTTTCTTTTTCTTTTGGAAAGAGCAGTGCATCTTACTTTGTGGTTGCTAATATTTCCTAGTTAATCTCAGTTCTAATAAGTAGGTAATGTGCTTGATAAGCCATTCAACTTTTCGTAGGAATTACACCCATTTTGCCCATTGGCAAACCTTCAAAATTCAGAAGTCCTAAGTGTTACCCATGAGGCAGACCTTATCAAACTTGATGTTTAGGGCAAGGGGGATCAAAACACAAGGCCATTCTGTAAATCAATCTCGTGGGATTAATAACATGATCTTTTTTTACTATACAGATTAGTTAGAAGGTCAATTTTCCCTGTAACTCTAGTAGTAGGGAGGGAGTAGGTTACCATCAAATATAATCTTTCTTGAAACTACTTTGCTTTTTGATGGATACCAACTCGCAAGTCATTTGAAAAGCAGAGTTCTTTAACTGAGCATTCAAAGATGATCGTCTCATGGTATTATATTTATTCAAAAAAGAATGAGTTCATTTCCTGGAGCACAAAACAGGTTATTGAACAATGAAACTTTTCTGTCATTAGTTTGAGTCTCCAGAAAAACGTATGTAAAAAAAGCATATAAAAGTGGCGACTGAAAAGTACATGTTTCCCACACGCTTTAAAGTTCTCCAAACAATAAACCTCTGGAAATGCATCATCCTTCAAAATTTGAAGGAGAGTCGATCAGTATAATGACCCCTAACTACCACTTTTTCCATTTCAATTTTTTACTACCACTTTTCTACTTTCCAAGAAGCCTCATCCAGAACTCAGCAGCCGTTGTCAGAAAAAAGAGTTGTCACCAAAATGATGCATGCAAGTCAGAGCTCTACGCCAAAAGAATAGGCACTCTTTATCATTGCCAAATTATCTACTCAGGAATTCGATGCATGCAAGGCTACTTACTCACAAAGCTAAGAAAATTCAGTCATCCTTTTTTTGGCTTTGCAGCGAGAAAATGGGATCACTCAGATGATGATCATCAGCAGAATTTGCAGTAAGAGAGCTGTCATCGCCGCTTACTGCAGATGAATCACTCTGCCTGGTGTTTTTGGTCAACTTGGATTGAGAGGTCACAGGAAGCTGAGTGCCAAGGTTCTTGCTCACTACGTTTTTATAAACGGCAAGAGCTTGAGACATCATGCTAGCAGGATCAGAAGCATTTGTAGGAAGCAACAACGTTGTGCCCTTCAAAATTGATACAAGCAAACGGAAAAAATAACAAAGTTAGCAAACATCATAAACATGACAGCTGACACAAATATAATGTAACAATTGTGCTTCACCTCCTTTGCAATATTACTGAAGGCTTGGATATACTGCTCTGCAATCCTCAAACTTGCTGCCTACAAACAAAATATTGGAAGTTGTAAGTGTGACAGAATGGCAAGGGTACAATAAAATGAGATATTGACAATCCAATGGAGAAAACTTTGCCATAAGCTGGCGCACTATAAGTGTGGGAAGCAGCCTGCTATTCCACTTCCATACGTACCAGAAGAAGAAGGGGCAGGGAGGAAGAAGAAAGTAAAGACAAAAATCAGAGCCAGATCAGGACCAGCACTACTGGTGTTTCAAGAATCTCACCTCTGCACCGCCATGCTCTTTAAGGGTTTCTGACACCATTGCAATTCCTTTTGCTGTAGCTTGTGCCCTGGCGAGGATTGCTTCTGCTTCACCTGATTCATTCAACAGGGAGAGAAAATGAATGAGGAGAACCAGTGAAGCTGAGATTGACCCCAAAAAGTTTTATGTAACTTGAAACACCTTGAGACAATACATTTTCTATCAGGCACCTCGGCACCACATGAAGGCACCAAAATGCAGTAGTGGACCATGATGAACATTATTTGTCGCCTTTAAGACAAGAGAGAACACACATGCACATACGTAATCAATCCACTAGACCTTATCCAACAGTCGCAACTCGCAATGGTAGGTGAAAAGTATGTTCTCAACAAAACTTCTAGATTTTCTTTTGAGAATATCACTGGCTAAACAGCTCAACTCTTCTTTGTTTTGACCATGATAAAGGGAAGCTTAATCTCACCAAAGTGCATGGAATAAGAGACATTATAGTAAACAAACCTTGCGCTCTATTGACTTGGTCCATTTTTGCAGCTTCTGAGGCAAGGATCACTGAACTCTTCCTTCCGTCTGCAATATTAATATTTGCCTGCCTTTCTCCTGTTATAGCGTCAAAAAAAATATCATCATTGAAAAGGAAAAAGAAAAACCTGCATGACAAATTGAAATACTAGAAATTCTAGAAAGGAAGTAGAGTGATTTTACGTTGGCATGGTAATCATTTAGTTACTAAGTTATCAGCCTAAGGAGACTATGTATATAGTAAGAACAGATCGAGTCTTTATGTTGATGGAGAAGCTTTTCGATAGATCTACTTGCAAATGTACAATAAGCTGGTCTGTCCCTGATATCAGAATAAGGTATTCCCAGAGGATTTTTATTAAGGGGTATCAAAATATAAAGTAAAAAAGTAAATGCTGCTATCAAGGATGAAAGACACAACCTCAAACTACTTTTGCAACCCCTTAACCACTACATTATACCTTCAACACTTGTATATGTGTATATACATATATATATATATATATATATATATATATATATTCATTAAATATAATTTTGACCTAAATACACAATGTAATTTTTTGACGAAGGGGGTGTCGCTTGACACCCCTTGCCCTAGGGTAGCTCCGCCCCTGGGTATGCCTCTTCAACCGCAAAGGCAAGACCTACCAATCAGAATTCTAACACAAATACTGCATTGCAAACTAGAGGATCAATTACCTTCTGACTCCAAAACTTGCGCCCTTTTTTTACGTTCTGCTTCAGCCTGCATCTCCATAGCAGCTCTAACACCGCGAGGAGGAGATATATCCCCTGAAAAGAGAAGGATAGCATACATACTCAGCAATATATAGTCAGACATTTTCTGCAATGATGGAAAAATCGACAGACTAACCCACATACTTATTTCATATCGAAGACATTTCAAGCCCCAATCTTTTGCAGCCTCGTTAATAGCCATCTACAATAAAAGCGCACATCAGAGGAATCAAACTCAAGCATCGAAGGTGCAGAACAAAAAAAACCATTTGGGATGCTTCCTAAATCAACACTCAGAAGTATTGCACGTCACTTCAGGTAAAATTTGACAGTATAGAGATCAGATGAAAAAATCGTTAACTCACACCTAAATAAGCTTATGTACAAATACAGATCAATCACTAACGTCAATATGGCCATATAAGAATGCAGAAATTACTTGATGGTTACTCTAGAAACACCACCTAAATAAACCATATGCAATAGGTACAGAACTTGATGATGATAATGGTCATTCAACAAGCGACTCTGGATTCATGTGCAGATTGATAGTGAAGTGAAGTTGAAGAAAGCAGTATCTTGACGGTGAGGACAAAACATTTTAAAAACACACAGAGATACTTAACTTATATTTTTCACGCACACAATTAATTTCACCAGAACAATCATAGAACCTTGGACCAGCAGTAATTTCTCTTTTAACTTTGAGTTCCATTCCAGAGGTTCTATCTGATTTCATGATAAACACCAAAATGGTACAGCAAAATAACTTCTCAAATGTGGCTTTTATGGCTAAAAACAATTGAAACTGCTTCTTCAAAGTTCAAACCAATGTTTTGTTTTTATCCTCTACTTTTCACGAAATATCATTTCTTATTCTCTGAGATTTATTAAGCATATAAATTCATCATTATTTTGATAAAATTTCCATCTAAAAGTGTCACGAGACTCTTGCTTTTAAAGTTGCAGTTACTCTCACCCTTCACAAATGCGCCAGATGAAAATGCACTCAATATAGTCAATTCAGCAGAAAAGTAGACTCAAGAAGCTCATATATCATACAATTCACAGAAAAGAATCGTATAGATGGATATTGGCACTCTCATCATGGATGGAGTCTTAACTGTTACCAATTTATCTTTTATGAGTGTTTGGTTATATTGGAGTTTCTTATTAACGCCGTTCTTAGACACCTCATGTGGTAGGATTCCCCTTAGATCGACCCTTCCCCTTAGATCGACCCTTAACAGCCAAGTTGACCAATTTATTTAAGTAGTAATTCACTTACATTTTAGCTATTACTCCCTCTAGTCCATATTTAGTGAAATTTGTGAGCAGTAGAAAAAAGAATACGACATAATTGAACACCACTTTCCACTTAGTCCCTTTAAGGTATACTCAAACTATTCTTGAAAATAGAAATAATTCAAAGTACATACAATACATAAATATGAACAATTAACTCTCTTGAACTTATCACCTAGAAAATGTAAATGAAGGGAAAATGGAAATATACAACTACTCTACTGAACATTGAACAATAAGCTTATTTTGAACATTGAGAAAAGGCTCAAAAGTGCAATTATTATAGACTAGAGGGAGTAAAAAAAAAATAACCAAGCTCACACAAAGAAGGGCAAAAACAGAAAAACAACAGATTACACACACAATAAAGATAAAGACAGAAAAACTACAAGGAAGACCATAATCGAGTAAATAAACATTACAATCTTCTATAACATGTCTTCACCTCCCCAAAAATGACTCTTTCTCAATAGAACTTGGGAAAATCTTACTGTCAAAAAATGGCAATTGTCAATTCTTCAAAAAGTCAATTTTATATCCATTTTGACCTGATTTTCACTCTAATAAACCAATTCCTCAGTTCTATGTCAATAATAAAGCATAATCAAAATATGGTACATAAACTATGACAAAGGACTTTGATACTTAAAAAGGCAGTTAAAGGGGAATTACAAAGAGAATCGTAATTCGGGACAGCAGGAAATACCAACAGGACATAATTAATATACAAACTCTATGTCAACATGACTGAGATACATGAACAGTGAAGATTCATATTCTGTTGACTGTTGTATATTTTAAAAGGCGCATATGTTTTACATCACATTTTTTTAAAAGTAACAATGTCTTATTAAAGTAAAACCGCAGCAGCCAGGTGCTGAATTACATATAACCACAATTTTCTCCTTTAACACTGACGCGTAATGAGAAGTCTAAGAGAGAGACTAAAAAGATAGAAACATCAAGAAGATCATTAGGACTACCAATTACTTGCAGTTTGGAATCCTAAAGTAGAAAAAGTAGAGAAAGGTTGAGACAATGGCACTTTTTCCATTAATGAGTAAAGAAGTCCTGATAAAGGCATTTTCAAGTGCACCAAGCCCCCAAACATGCGTGCATTGGCAAGAGTGACAGAGAAGCTGAAGACACAACAATGAAATTTCTAGAGGAAGAGATGTAACGGGATAAAAAAGTTTCATCTAATGAATTGAAATGTTGTCACATCTAGTTATGGAGTTCTTGGATTGAAAACTCAAGAACATTCAGCAACACAGACTTAAGAAAGTGGCTCAGAGGTTCAGTAATGAGAACACTAGGTACGGAAGACGGTGAATGCAGAAAAGTATGATAAGGAGGAATACATAACTGGAAACACCACTTTACCTTATGAGTGCAAACTATAGTGGAATATCATTACAGGATGGGAAGTGTTTAGCCGTAACATCACATTTATGGACCAAGAGAAGCTTGTTAAAGCACTGCCAGTGCGTGGATGAATTCGTAAGTGAACTCGTAAGTCAAATACTCGAGTAATTTTCCACATATCAAGCCAGAAAAGATAGCATTGACCAGACATACAGAGAAAAAGATGGTGGATCATTATAAAGCCTATGATTCAAATGAACATACAAGATCAAAAGATAGAAGACCCTCGGCTCAAATGTATCAAAACCAGATAAAAGAAGAAAAAGATAGCAGAAGTTCAAATTTGATAAATTATTTTATAGAGCGATTATCACCTGAGCAAAGGTGAACACATGGAAGTCTATAGGTAGGGGAAGTGATTTTTACCTAGGAAGTTCTTCTAACACAAGTTACTGAAAATAGAGGATAGGGCTGCTAATATCTCTCTGTTTGGATACAAAGAGCACCGAGAAAGGCTTGCTTGTTCACGTAGCTGGCAGTAAAGGCGGTGATACTAACCACTAGTTATTGTGAGAGAAAGTGAACCATCAACCATTTATTAGTGCGTTTAAAGTTGCAAAACCTCCTATAGGTGGACAATTAACATAACATGTACTAGTTGAACCAAAAGTCCATGCCTTTACAATGTGTTCTTTTGGTATTTTAAAATTTCAGAGCGGAATCTATCCTTCCCACAAAATTCAGCATTTCTTGAGTAGAAGAGTTGTTTAACATATGAAACATGGTTCTATCAGGTGGATCTATCAAACTTGTGTAAAACTTGTAATATTCAAGATAAGTTAATCATCAATTCTCTAAATAACTAGTTCAAATCTTACAAGTGGAAACTATATACAACCTGCATCTCAAGCACGAACTACATCCAATAAATTGCATAGGCAATTCACTTACTTCCAGTTTCAGATACTCACAATCGTAAGTAAAGGAACTGATCAAACAACCCTCAAGTTATCCTATTTGACCAAAAAACATATAGATACTCGACACATGCTATTAATGGGGATGAGGAGAAACAGTGAGGAAGGGGCTAGACATTATTTAGAACATAAACTAGTAAAAGGCTCACCACTATCTTTTCATTCAAAGTGTCCCTTTCCTCAAAGGTCTTGTCCAGTGTGATCTTACCAAGCTCACTGCGCATAGTTGTTTGTGCTAGCTGAATTACCGCATAGAGTGGATTCTCAACCCCATACGAGGCTAATTTAGGGTCCACAATCTACAGTAAAACAACAAACATAAAACATATTGACATTTTCAAGAGTGTACAATCAATAATGTCTCAATCCAAAATTAGTTAGAGCTTTCTAACCTTGACATAAAGAACACCGTCAATCAAAATGCTGACATTGTCTTTGGTGATGGCGGATTGATCAGGTATAGGAATAGCCTCTTCTTTGAGCGAGTGAACATAAGCAATTTTATCGACAAAAGGAATCAACACATGAATTCCAGGAGTCAAGGTCTTAGCATACTTCCCAAATCGCTCAACAACATATGCCTTTTTCTCAGGCACAATTCGTACTCCCCAATTAACAGGCGGCGGAATTTCATATCTTCATAAATAAACACACAACGTTTTCACAGAAAACAATATAACACTTAAAATTATAGCAATACGAAAAAGAGGATTAACTTATTTTACCTCACACTAGGGTCACGAGCATTGCGAAAATGACGGACCGGTGTGAAGAACGGGGAGAGCTGACGTGGATGGATTTGACCGGATAGAAGAGAGGACTGCTTTAGAATCGGCGAAGAGAGAGTGGAAACGGCTCTGCAGGTAACAACAGGCGTCGACTGCAGCAAGTGATTCAGCAGCCGGAGCTTGCTGAGGGAGTTCGATCTCGCCGTGTTCATTGAGGTATATGAATTGGATGCCGGAATCGGACGGTGGAGAGAGAAAAAGACAGTCGATCGGTCCGACGGAGGGGAGTTCTCACGTTTATAAAGCCCTAGTAAAACCCATTACCCAAGTCACACAATTTGTCATTTCTCGCCTATTGTACCGTATGGGGTAGTTGGTTAGGTTGGATATGGAAACTTCATTATGGATTTTTGGTTTTCAAATTAAAAAATTGTAATATTTTGAATTTGGATCATTTTCTTAAATGCGATTTCAGATTAATGGATTTCATTATATTTTTTTTTAAAAAAATTGACTCGATAAGTTGAGTTTTTCTTCCTGTAATAATTGTCCAAAGATCTAATTTCTCATTTAAACCATAATTATCCAAATAAAATGTTAATATACTAAAGAATAAGATTATTAAAAAGAAATTATTTACTTGAAAAAAATAAAAGCATGTTTAAAAAAACATATTTTTTTAAAATATATATTGATGTTTGTCATATTTTATAATTTTTTTAAAAATAAATTATACTACTTATGTATAATTTATATTTAACTCTACTACATTTGATCTTTTTTTGTCACAATTCCTTACAAAACTGTGAAAAATATAGTCACATTGAACTCATCTTAATTTGCACAGTTCATAAGCGTAATGTAGTATATTGTGTTAGGGAAAAATTACGTGATAATAAAATTACAAAATTATAATTGAAAATAAAATCTTTTTAAGTTAATGCGCGAATATTTCACTCTCTTCAAAAAATATTCAAGTCTACTATAGTATACAGCAAATGTTTTTTACCGATTCAGCAATAGTCTTTCTTGATTTGTCTCCTTCAGAATACAACAACCTGATTACAAAGTGTAACTCAACAGACTCTGGACAAAGTTGAGTCTAAAGTTCTACAATAATAACAATACCCCCTTTCAATTAATAAACTCTCTTTTTGACTAACTTTTATGTACATTATATTTTCTTATCTGCTTCAAATCAAAATGAAAATCACCATTATATAGTTAAAAAGTCTTCCTAACGACGAATTAGAAGATAATAAAAATAGTAAATATAGAAAATAAATAACTTATATATTATAAGATATAATGAAAAAATAAAAAATTGAGATAACGGAGATTGAATAAAAAGAATAAGCTGTCATGGTTGACCAGCTTCTGCCACCAACAGTAAACTCCAATGAACCAACGTTTTGTAACCATCAAATAAAGGATAATAATGCCCAAGGACAATGATTATCACAAGTAAGTAATTAGGCACAAATGCCTAACGTTGGAGCAACGAAATAAAGGTTGCTTCAATAACAAAAGATAATTGTTAATGTATCAAGTTGAAGGTGCAAATTATTGTGCATTTTTTTTTAATCATAAAATATTATTAACAATTTAAAATCCGATACACCTATAGAGCGTCTAAAATTCCTAGCCACCTTCTAAGAAAAATTTTATGTCTTTTAAGCCTTCATCTAGATAAAAAACTAGTTACATGAAAAAATGTTGAATTAATATGATAATATTAAAATGTTTACACTAACGTTTTGATTGATTTATCAATATAAGATATATATGGATTTATGTACAATATATAAGAATAAATATGAGATATGATCCGACAAATCATGTTCAATCTTAATTTAACGGAAAAGGGTTAAGAATACTTTTAAATTATTTAAAATAGCTCAAACATATTCTGGAACTATATTTCGGTTCAAATATACCCTTCTCATAAACAGGATCTGTTAAGCGCCACTTGGATGCCATGTGGATACTATATGACATGTCACATAAGCCAACAGAGTTCCATTCATGCCACGTAGAAAATAAACTTATCCTTAATTTCCCCAATTTTTTCTATTTCCCTCAGAATTTAAAAAAGATTTCACTGAAGAACATAGAACCCTTTCCCTTAGAATTTATGTATTTTGTGAAATCGTTCTAAGGAAATGGAGAAATGAGGAAAAGAGGTTCTATGTTCTTCAGCGAAATCGTTTCTAAATTCTACGGTAAATGAAGAAAATTGGGGGAAATTAGAAATAAGTTTATTAGTCTACGTGACATGAGTGGAACTCTATTGACTTATGTGGCATGTCATGTGACATCCACATGGCATCTTAGTAGCATTTAATTAATTATGTCAATGAGAAGGATATTTTTGACGCTATAGTTTGACGATAAAAATATATTTGAACCAAAATATACTTGAAGGATATATTTAAACTATTTCTGATAGTTCAAAAATATTTTTGACCCTTTTCCACTTAATTTAATAAAGTGAAAAGAAATTTCACCAATATAATGACTCGGTGATAATCGAACAACTACACCTGAACATTAGGATTAATATTTGATCTTACAAAAATCACGATTAAAAGAATTCTTTAATTAGTTAGAGACATTTTTGTTGGCGAGTATTTTCTTTCATTGATAATATCAGGTTAATAATAATTTATAGAACCAGAGACAACAAAGGGATATGTAATAGTATGTTACATACTTTGACTCTAATTGTATGCAAACTATTATTGCCAATGACCAATTATTTGCTCTTTTTGCGAACATTTTTTGGATATTCGAATGGAAATTGCAGCGAGAAATTAAGCCAGTGTTGAATTTGGGTTTAAATTTTAAAAAATTATTTCAAATATCTATTTGATTATCATATTGTGAAAAAAGAAATGTCTTTTGAGGGAAATCTCACCTCCACTAATAAAATTATAGAAAGAAAATAATTTCAAATAAAATGCATATTCAAACACAATTGTATGTTAAAAACAACATAAATTCAAAAAGTTTAAAATTTCAAATTTAGAATCTATAATCAGATAAGAACTAAGTATACATGGGAGCTAAGCGGAATTTTTTTATTTTTTTAAAAGTAAAATCTTTAGGCTCAAGTGTTGCCACATCACGTCCTTATTTTGCCTTGTTCTAGTTTGCCACTTCATGTTAGTCATTGCAATTTGCACACATTACTTTGGTGTCTATCGAAGTCTCCGTCATTGCGGTCTAATTCGTAAGTTTTAAAGATGGGGTCCTTAATTAAAGATCCATCTCTTCTTCACATCATTTTATTGATATTTTTTTCCAGCTTGACCAGTATCATAATGTGAGGGGAGTCACAAAACAACACAAGTAGGATACAACACCTACAAGGATCGACTTCAAGACAATCAACCAAATATATTTCATCAATTTACCAAAAGAAATTCACCACTATATTAA